CCCTGGGGCTGCTCGGCCCATCGGCTGCCCTTTTTCCTTGGCTAGTTCTGTTTCGTTTTGTTCGTTTTCGCTTGTCCGTCGGCCTCAATGGTCGGCCCGAGCTCGTCGGCCGCCCTGGGGCTGCTCGGCCCATCGGCTGCCCCTTCCCTGGCTGGTTCTGTTTAGTTTTGGATATTTTCGCTTCTCCGTCGGTTGCAGCGGTCGCCCCGGGTTCGTCGGCCCATCGGCTGCTCCTTCCCTGGCTGGTTCCGTTTAGTTTTGTTTGTTTTCGCTTGTCAGTCGGTTGCTGTAGTCGCCCCGAGCTCGTCGGCCGCCATTGGGCTGCTCGGCCCGTGGGCTGCCCCTTCCCTGGCTGGTTCTGTTGGGTTTTGCTTGTTTTCGCTTGCCCGTCGGTTGCATTGGTCGATCCGAGCTCGTCGGCCGCCCTGGGGCTGCTCGGCCCATCGGCCGCCCTCTCCCTGGCTGGTTCCGTTTAGTTTTGCTTGTTTCTGGATGTCCGTCGTTTGCATTGGCCGCCTCGAGCTCGTCGGCCGCCCTGGGGCTGCTCGGCCCATCGGCTGCTCCTTCCCTGGCTGGTTATGTTTCGTTTTGCTTGGTTTCGCTTGCCTGTCGGTTGCGCCGGTCGCCACGAGCTCGTCGGCCGCCCAAGGGCTGCTCGGCCCATCGGCCGCCCCCGTCCGTGGCTGGTTGTGTTTAGTTTTGTTGGTTTTTGCTTGTCCGTCGGTTGCATTTGTCGCCCCGAGCTCGTCGGCCGCCCTGGGGCCGCTCGGCCCGTGGGCTGCCCCTTCCCTTGCTGGTTCTGTTTAGTTGCGTTTGTTTTCGCTTGTCCGTCGTTTGCATTGGTCGCCCCGAGCTCATCGGCCGCCCTGGGGCCGCTCGGCCCATCGGCTACCCCTTCCCTGGCTGTTTGCGTTTAGTTTAGCTTGTTTTCGCTCGTCCGTCGGTTGGATGCGTCGCTCCGAGCTCGTCGGCCGCCCCGGGGCTGCTCGGCCGATTGGCTGCCCTCTTTCCCTGGCTGGTTCTGTTTAGTTTTGTTTGTTTTCGTTTGTCCGTCGGTTGCATTGGTCGCCCCGAGCTCGTCGGCGGCCGCCCTGGGGCAGCTCGGCCCATCGGCCGCCCCCCCCCTGGCTGGTTCTGCGTAGTTTCGCTTGTTTTCGCTTGTCCGTCGGTTGCGTAGGTCGCCCCGAGTTCGTCGGCCGCCCCAGGGGCTGCTCGGCCCATCGGCTGCCCCTTCCTTGGCTGGTTATGTTTCATTGTTGACTGTTTTCCGTTTTTCCGTCGGTTGCATGGGTCGCCCCGAGCTCGTCGGCCGCCCTGGGGCAGCTCGGCCCATCGGCTGTTCCTTCCCTGGCTGGTTCTGTTTAGTTTTGTTTGTTTTCGCTTGCCCGTCGGTTGCGTTGGTCGCCCCGAGCTCGTCGGCCGCCCTGGCGCCCCTCGGCCCATCGGCTGTCCTTCTCTGGCTGGTTTTGTTTAGTAATGTTTGTTTTCGCTTGTCCGTCGGTTGCATCGGTCGCCCCGGGCTCGTCGGCCGCCCCGGGGCCGCTTGGCCCATCGGCTGCTACTTCCCCTGGCTAGTTCTGTTTGGTGTTGTTTTCGCTTGTCCGTCGGTTGCATTGGTCGCCCCGGGCTCGTCGGCCGCCCTGGGGCTGCTCGGCCCGTCGGCTGCCCCTTCCCTGGCTGGTTCTGTTTAGTTTTGCTCGTTTTCGCGTGTCCGTCGGCTGGCATTGGTCGGTCCGAGCTCGTCGGCCGCACTGGGGCTGCTCGGCTGCTCGGCCCATCGGCTGCCCCTCCCCTGGCTTGTTCCGTTTGGTTTTGCTTGTTTTCGCTTGCCCGTCGGTTGCAGTGGTCGCCCCGAGCTCGTCGGCATCCCTGGGGTGGTTCAGCCCATCGGCTGCCCCTTCCCTGGCTTGTTCTGTTTAGTTTTGCGTGGTTTCGCTCGTCCATCGGTTGCAGTATTCGCCCCCAGCTCGTCGACCGCCCTGTGGGTGCTCGGCCCATCGGCTGCCCCCGCCCTGGCTGGTTCTGTTTAGGTTTGCTTGTTTTCGTTTGTCCGTCGGTTGCACTGTTCGCCCCAAGCTCGTCGGCCGCCCTGGGGCTGCTCGGCCCACTGTTTGCCTGTACTTTCTTTTGTTTGGTTACATGTGTTTTTTTCGCGCGTCCGTCGATTGCACTGTTCGCCCCCAGCTCGTCGCCCGCCCTGGGGCTGCTCGGCCCAGTGTTTGCCTTTACTTTTTGTTGTTTGATTCTATGTTGTTTTGGTTTGTTTGTTTGTTTTGTTTGGTTTACTGTGTTTTGCTTTCGCGCGTCCGTCGGTTGCATTGATTATTGCTTGTTTTCGCTTGGCCGTCGGTTGCGCTGGCCGCCCCAAGTGGGTCGGCCGACCCAGGGCCGCTCGGCCCATGGGCTGCCCTTTCCCTGTCTGGCTATGTCTATTGCTGTTTGCTTTCGCTTGTCCGTCGGCTTCACTGTTCGCCCCAAGCCTGGAGTGGCCAGGCCGTCGTAAGAAACCGCCTTCGAATTCAACTGCTGCTTTCTCGAGTTCTTCGGGGCCCCAGCTCAGCCGTACAATTTCTTATCTCTTGGTTTTCTTAATACTGACCGTTGGTGTACACGGACCGGCGCTGCTTCCGGAACCGCCGCTCTCGACGATGACTACGACTCCGCACACCTTGCCAGGGCCGAAGCTCTCACTCCGACGTCGCCCCCAGCGTCGCTCTTCCTCGGAGCTGGCGCCCCCGTCGCGACGTCGCCCCGGCACCTCTCCTGGACGACGACGCCTATTGCAAGCGTTTACTCCAGAGCTCGCCCTCCTGGCGCCTAATTACATCGATCCCCTACGAGTGAGGAGGGAGGGGGGAGGAGGGAGGAGGGAGGAGGGAGGACGGAGGGAGGAGGAGGGAGGAGGAAGGAGGAGGAAGGAGGAGGGAGGAGGGAGGAGCGAGGAGCGAGGAGGAAGGAGCAGGAAGGAGGGAGGAGGAAGGAGGGAGGGGGGAGGAGGAAGGAGGGAGGATGCAGGAAGAGGGGGAAAAGGAGGAGGAGGAGAGGAAAGGGGAGGAGGAGGAAAAAGGAAGAGGAGGAAAAGGAGGAGGAGGAGGAGGAGGAGGAGGAAAAGGAGGAGGAGGAGGAGGAGGAGGTAGCATGAGGAGGTGGTAGGTAGGTAGGTGTGCTCCCTTTGAGCTGGCGGCGGAGGCGTCGGACGGCGCTTCCTTTCAGCAAGGAGCCACGACCTGGACAGGGTTCGGAAGCGACCTTGCTGCGACGGCTCTGGAAGACAAAGCGCCAGCACTGGAGGGGACGGGGGGAGGATAGGCGAAAGCTTTAGCACTTTCGGGGGCCTAGGCGGAATTCTTGGGTCGGCGCTGGGCCCCCCCCTTGCGCTCAACACGAGCTCGGGGAGCGGCGCCAAGGCGCCCGGGGGGGGGCCCAGCCCCTTCTCAGGAAAACCCAACCTCACAGCTCCAGCCAACACCTCCGCCCAGCCTCGGCCAGAGCGAAGCAGCAGAGGCAACTCAGAGACTCCCCGCAACGTGGGGGGGGGGGGGCCAGGCAGGGAGCACCTGCCTGGAGCTCGTCCGATCCCCACCACACTGCCTGGTCGACGTACCCCGCAGGTACGGGACGGTGACAGGAAGGGACAAAAGGGACGGAGAGGGAGCCACCCCGAGGGGGGACAAAAGGGCCCAGCCCGCCCCTGCCAGGAGCCCACGGGGAGAAGAATACTGCTCCCGCTGCACCCCAGGGCAGGACCAGAGCTCCGAGGCGAATCCAGCCGTGGCGACAGAGGCACCCCAGAACGAGCAGCGGTCTGGGTGCCGCTCCCCCCCAGAAGCGCCAGGCAGAGGAGAGGGAGGGCGGGAGGGAGCGAGATCAGAAGGGGAGAGAAAGCCACCCCAGAGAGGAAGAGAGAGGGAGAGAGGACGGGGCGAAGAGAGAGGCCCATCCCGGCCCGACCCGCCTCGACCACCCGGGCTTCCAGGCGGAAGGGGGGAGGGAGGGAGGGAGAGAGGAAAGGAGGGAGGGAAGGAGAGTGGGTGAGCGGAGGAGGCTCTGCAGCGCCAGGCAGAGGGGAGAGACAGGAAGGGGAGGGAAGTCCACCCCAGAGAGGAAGAGAGGGGGAGAGAGGACGGGGCGAAAAGGGAGGCCCACCCCGGCCCGACCCGCCTCGACCACCCGGGCTGCCGGGCGGAAGGAGGGAGGGAGGGAGGGGGACAGGGAGGTAGGGGGCGCTGGAGCCCGGAAGAGGGAGAGCAACAGGCAGGCGTTCGCTGCCACAACCTTACCCTCAGATCCGCATGGACACCAACCCCCCGAGGCACAGGATCACAACGTCTCACAGCCAGACCAGTCTGCTGGACCGCCCGACCTAACCGCCGAGAGGCCTCCGGAGGCCCTCCGAAGCTCCCAGGACATCACGGAGGCACCCAGGGCCTCCGAGGGCCTCCGGGGGCCTCCAAAGCCCAGCGGAAGCCCGCCGACGACCTCCCAGGGCTCCGGCAGGCCCCCGGGAAGCTCACGGAGGCCCTCGAGAACCCTCGGGAAGCCCTCGAAGGCCCTTGGGAGGCCCTCGATCCAGACCCAAGAGGAACAGAGAGAAAGGAGGCAGAACACCCGACAGGCTTCGAAACGGATGTGCGCGGCGCTAAAGCGAGAGCCACATTTTGGAAACGACCCGCCCTCAATCCGTGAAGCTCTTGCAATGTGTAAAAACGCGGCGCTGAGGCGAGAGCCACATGTTGAAAAGGAACCGCCCTCAATCCGTGACACTCTTGTATTTTTAAAGTGATTGTGGGCGGCGCTAAGGCGAGAGTCACATTTTGAAAACCACCCGCCTTCCATCTGTGAACCTGTTGTAACCTTTAGAGTCATAAATGGTGAGGAAGTCTCAGGCGAAACGCCCGGCCCGCCCTAAAAACTTGCTTCGGGGTGCGACAGGGAGAAGTTATTTATAAGGAAAAGGCATGGAGGAGGAAGGACTGAACCCCTCCCCTGCCGGCGCCGAGGACTACCAGATCCAGCTGCTGCTGCCTTTCCTGCGCCTCCCGGGCGGCGCCGTCTGCGACGACTGGCTGCGCACCCTGCCGCCGCTGCGCCCGATGTTCCCGCGGATGGTCATCCGGCTCGCATCGAGACTGATGCCCTTCTGACGCCCTTGGTTTAGGAGGAGGAGGAGGAGGAGGAGGAGGAGGTGGAGGAGGAGGAGGAGGAGGAGGCGGAGGAAGAGGAGGAGGAGGAGGAGCAGGAGGAGGAGGAACGGCCCCTTCCACCCCTCACTTCCGGCCGGGGTCCTGGGAAAAAGTGCACACGGGCGGTCAGCCTGCGTCCGGCGTAATCCAGAAGCGTGGCGGGACGTCGGCCCGGGTTGAGCCAGTGGGCTGAGCCGTTGAAGCCTCCCTTGTAGAGGTTGCATTTTGCGCTGAGCTTGCAACTGGCCAGCGCCCGGCTGGACCCCCGAGCGGCAAAACCCATGCGGTGGCGATTGCGATGAGTGCTTGGCGTTGGCTGGTGCATCTCTGCGGCCGCGCCAACCCCAGCACGCGCGCGCAGCGGCCAGCTAGCTTGGCGCGACCGACGCGGCCGCGGTGGTGCCCGGGGCGCACGTGAGGCCCGAATCGCGGCGAGTTGGCCCCGAGGGGCTGAGGTGGCCTGGCCCACCCTGTTTTGGAAGCCAGTGGATGGCGTTCAGTGGGTGACCCCGATCGCGGAGCGGTGGAGCGGTTTCCTGCTAGTGCCCCACCCCGCCTGCACAGGGCACGGAATTGCCCCCCCCCCCCCCCCTCTGTCCTCTCCCCCGCCCTTCCCCCCCTTTCCCTGCTTCCCCCCTCCGCCCCGGCTCCCCCTGTCGCCCCCGACCCCCCCCTTCCGCTCCTGGTGCAGCAGGGCTACCCACAGAGAGGTATTGAAACAAACGCTTCCAGCCTTGCCCCCAGCCGGTTTTTCGGGTCTCCAAAAGGGAGCGCGGGGTGTTCGGGAACTTCCTGGGCGCGCCCATCCCCGCGATTCTCTTAGCATCCAGCGCCGTCCCGTGCAAACCCGCACTGCCGACATCGTGCCAGGCGCGAACCGCGCGCGGGCCGCGTCGCCGCTACACGCCACACTTCGGACCCCACGGGGGCACGCGGGCAGGGGGATTTTGGAGCGAGATCCTTTCTGGCCTCCGACTCCCTGGGGTCGCGTCTCCCAGGGGGCTTCGCGATGGCGGCGACGGTGGAATATCGTCCCCATGCACATGAGCCAGGACCTGGGGAAGCCAGTCGCGCTGGGATCACCCCGTGGTCTGGCATGAGAGCGCGCCCCCGCCGGGCGTCCAGCGAGAGCCCCGACAGCCTTGCTGTAGCGGGCTTCGAAGCTCGACGGGTCGCTTGCCGACCGTCGGGCTTAAGTTCTATTCAAATTTCCATGCGTGGTTTAAACATAGTTTCTCCCAGTCTGCCAGGAGAAGCCCGCGCCAGGCGAACCGATGCCGGCATGCGTTCGAAAAATAGGAAAGAGGAGGGGGAGGAGGAGGAGGAGGAGGAGGAGGAGGAGGAGGAGGCGGTGGAAGAGAGAAAAAGAGGACGAGAAGGAGGAGGAGGAGGAGGCGGAGGCGGAAGCGGAGGCGGAGGAGGCAGAGGCGGAGGCGGGGGAGGAAGAAAGGGATTGCGAGGAGGAATAGGGGAGGGTCATTTTCCTCCTGTTCCCCCTTCTCCTCAGGAGGAGGGGGAGGGAGGAACAAGAACAACAGGGGTACGCAAATCAAAGGGCAGCAGGGGGAGAGGATCCGTGATGAGGGGGAGGAGCGTGCTTATACGCAGTTTGGCCCTCTCCGACCTCCGCCCTTTTCCGAGACGCTTGCTTTTCCGCTGGCGCGCGGGCTCGAAGGGCGCCCTTGAGAGGCCCTTGAGTCCGGCTGGTGCCTCCAGACCTGCCGTTTTGGCATCTGCGTGCCTAAGCGCGGTCGCAGCATGTGATAGCCCAGCATGGATTCGATGGTGGATATTGATGTTTTGATATCAAGAGGACCGGCGAGGCCCAGGTGACAAAAGGAATTTACCACGATAGACGTTCACGACATCTACTGCCTCGAGGCTGACGCCTACGCCGACATCTAGTTGGTAGCGGAGCCTGTTTGGCTCCACGGACCGGCTCGCCATGGCGAAAGAAATCGAGAAGTCGGAAACCGTGCCAATTTGGAATGGCGACGTTGCCGCTATCGATTCCTACGTGATGAGAGTGAAGCTCTACGCGTGCGGCGCCCAGATGGACGAGAAGGGCCTCTGTGGCCCACGGCTCATGGCGAAACTCCAGGGCCGCACATGTCAGGGCGCGCGGAAGTACGACATGCCCGACCCGCTAGTAGACGACGTCGAGGAAGATCTGACGATGAAGTTGCCCAAGGGGGGGCCAGCCAGCCGCTCCAATACCTTAGGGGGAAGAGTGGCATCCTAGGCGTCGAGGGCGCTGGCAAATGCACGCGGGGATTCACGAAGAAAAAGCATTGGAAGCCGAAGACACCGATGAGAGATTTCCTCGCTCGAGGTCGAGGAAGACAAGACGCAGAAGGCCATTCAGGCCATCGATGCGGACGCCGACGAGAAGAAATCAATACTTCCTGAGCCGCTGCGAGCATGATTTCTATTCGAGCATGCTAGACTTGGTGATCATGAGCTCTCGCAGGTGCTGGCTTCGGTGTAGAACAAGTACCAGCACGTCAAGATCCAGCAGGCCTTCGGCGTGCATTTCGACAAAACACGAGCGCGACCACGGCCGCAGGCCGACTCGGCAGCGGCGGCAGCACCGCCAGCGCACCTACGCGGCCGAGGGCAACGACGACTCAGAGAGTGAAGACGAAGATCTAGATGATGGTGGACTCAACGAGCTGTTCCCAGACACCGCCAGCGCGCCGGCGGCGGCCGACGACGACGAAATCGGCGACCAGCTCCAGGAGATCTGCGACCAGGCAGGCGACGGCGAGGAGCTGAGGCAGGAGTTGCTCGAGGGCGCAGTTTTCGCGGCAGCTCAGACTGGCCGGCGTTTTTTCGAGCGGGCTCGAGAGCTACTTCGCCGAGTCAAGACAGTAAGACAGTGGGATGTCTTTCGGCCCCAGGACCTCCCAGTCGACGCTGAACAAGGGTTCTGGGCCACAGGCTTCCTCGAGGGGACCGCCGAGCCCCGCTGGCAGCCGCGACCGCGGCAACAGGGGCAAGAACGCATGGAAGTCGGACCCAATCACCGCGTGCCTGAGGCGCGGCGGTTCCGGCGCATTGCTAGGGATTGCAAGGCGCTCGCGAAGCTTCAGCGCGGGCGCGAGCGCTCGCCCGCCCCCCGGGTTCGACGACGGCGAACTTCAGCGACGCGATCCCGATTTATTGCGACCAAGACGCGAACTACAGCGACGCGACCTCCATTTACTGCGACCCGGGTACGAAGTACAGCGACACGAATGCGATCCACTGCGATCAGGATACGACCTATTGCGACGCGAATGCGATCTACTGCGTTCAGGATACGATCTACAGCGACACGAATGCGATCTACTGTGATCAGGGCCCGAACTACGGCGATCTCAGCGCGATCTACTGCGATCCAACTGCGAACTACATACAACAGACATGAACAACACTACGTCCTAGTGGTTTACGAGCAGTGCGCTTTCATGGCGTCTTAGCTCACGGGGGCCCTCATGGGCGCCCTAGACTCTGGGGCCACATCTTCGATGATTCGGTTAGCTATGGCAGAGGTACGACAGCAGACAATGGTTTAGATTTTCAGGAAAGACCGAGTGAAGCTGGCGCCAGGGCCTCCGGCCGAGTTCACTTTCGGGAACAACCAGAGGACAACAACCATAAGTCATGCTCAGAATCCACGGTGCATCGACCGGCGGGAGTCTGATCTGCCCGCTTCAGTTGTGGAGGTCGAGCAATCTTCCCACGGGTGTGGATGTCTTGCAGCACCCCGGGGAGACCGTGGGTTTTGAGTTAGGCGCGATAAGGTTCAGGACCCCGGGCGATGAGGTTTTTCTGCTGGAGATCGAGATGTGGGCATGTATTGGTTTTGGTCCAGATGCAACGCGGCGCGAGGTTGCATCGAGTTCGGCGTTGAGCGCAGGCTCCAGCTCTCACTTGGGCTCAAGAGAGAGATTCTCAACGCGCGCAGCCGGCTTCGGGCCGAGATCCCCATCGAGTTCCACATCAATTAATATTCTCGTGCTCGAATGGGGTGGGCAAGGCTGGTCTGGCCATGTGCCACAGCAGCAGGGCTTGAAATCATCAAGAAGCATTCCGACGAGCACGAGGTGCGGCTGTCGCGGGGCCCCAGGGGCTGCGACGGCAGGGTGCAGCTGCACAGGAGGCAGAAGCCACCGGTGTCATGGGCGCCTGCCGTTCGGTCAGCCCCCGCTTGTCATGCCAGACTCGGCCAAATAGAAGGAGGGCGGGGGGGGCGGCAAGCAGTCTTCCAAAATCAGGTGCGGGTGTTGCGGAAAGCCTGGGAGGCGTAGAGCGGGTCGCGGCTGCGTCGGGGGCGAGATTCCCATCTGCCGCAGGACCCCGAAGCCGGAGAGGAGCTCTCGGATAGAGACGCCGAGTCCAAGGCCACCTCCGAGACGCAGTCCAAGGGCGGATTCGAGCTCCCCTTCGCCGCCGAGGACAGCGCCCGGCGCGGGCCCGCCGCGCGCGAAGACGAACGGGGCAGCTCGGAAGGCGCCGCCACCGAGGAGGGGCGCGAAGGAGGAGCCGCCCGGGGCAGAGGTCGCGTCGGAAACGATCGATTTGAACGAGGTGACGTAGGAGAACATGCAGTTTCCCCATCGGGGCCCGTCCAAGGAGATCTTCCCGGAGCACCTCGCGAATATCGAGATGAAGACCAGGTTCCAGCGGGCGGGCCGGAGGATTGGGACCTGCTGGAGGAGTGCTACAGCCCGGAGTTCTGGGAGCTTCTGGCGGCAGCCCCACTGGGCCTGGAACAGAGGGGGGCCCAGAAGATGGCGCTGAGAGCGGCAGTGCGATTGACGCGGTCAGGTTCACGAGCCTGAGGGGGCTTTGCGGCGGGCAGCTCTACGCGTTGATCGGCGTTGCCGACGCCTGCGAGCGTCGCGCGGCGTCCGGGGCCCAGGGTTATTTCGCGAAGGAAGATTGGACCTGATGGCGATCCGTTCTCCGCCAGACTCCAGACTGGGTCGAGGCCGTCAAGAAACTGGGAGGCCATGCGACGCGGCTTGGCAAGAGCAGCGAGTGCGACCTCACGACCGACGCAGGCCGCGGAAGAGCAAGCGCCGCTCTGGCCCTGGAAGGGCCGACGCGGGCGGTTCCTGCGCCACCACGCACGGCGAGGACGATCATCCGGAGTAGCAACCAGAGGGCGCCCGAGCAACGCGAGCGACTGGAGGCCAAGAGACGCGACCAAGGCACGCGCGCTACTGGCTCGCCAAGCCCTACATCAAGGTGCAGAGGCGGATTTCGAGCAGCCCCTGAAACGCGGCACCTGGTCATTGCCCTCCCTCAGGCGCTTCGGGGGGCAGCTCATGGCGGCGCGAGTGGATGGTTGCGCTCATTGCACGAGTGGTCCGAAGACGCAGGAGCTGACCAAGAAGGAGTGACCTATTGCTACGTCGGACCCACATCTCAACGCCACGCTGTGACGCGCACGTTCCAGCAAGCGAGGCAGCGCGCGCAACCGCTGCCGCGGGCCGATCGAGGGAAAGGTTGCCGAGTCCACGGCAGCCCACCCAGCCCTGATGCGCAAGAAGTGGGCATCCATCGCCATGAAGCACCCAGAATGGTCAGCCTGGTGCGCGTGGGCAGGAGGCGATCGCAACGCGAGGACGGCACAGGCTTCGTTTGTGGTCGAGCGGTGGATAGTCGGCAAGCAGCCTCCGCCGAAGTCAAGACGCGCCGAAGTCAAGGCAGAAGCAGACTCTGACATTGACCCGCAGGGCGAGTGCGAATGCTGGGGGCGGCGGGGCTACAACGTCACGGCAGGCCCTGGGCAAGCTCAGTGGCTTTCTACGAAGACGATGCCACATATTGCAGTACACTGGCCCACGCTACAAGCGGTGGTCAACGGTGCGACGGTCAAGGACGTGGGCCAGATCAACCAGCTCGTAAATATAATCCACGAGTTCGCGGCGACAGACGTCACCGTGCGCCCCTAATCGGACATGGCTCGGGCATGCCGGTCCGATGCGTTCGCGATCGGATGGGAGCAGTCAAGGGGGCTGCGTCATCTGTTCCACGGAGAAGGAAGCGCTCGAGGGGAAGAAGCAGAAGTTCACCGCGTGTACTGGAGCTTCCAAGAAGTTGACAAGGAAGCGTCGCTCCTCCCTCGGCGCAGAGGTCTCGGCGGCCAGCGAAGCGGCCGAGGAGCTGGAGCGCGCCCAGCTGGCCCGGATGGATATGCCGAGCGCAGACGCGCAGCTCAAAGACGACAAGCGCCACGAGATGATCGGGGCAGGCCCGCAGAGTGCATCGGTGACAGACTGCAAGAGCGACTACAGCGCAGTTACTTGATCCGATAGTTCGGCACCTGGCATGCATGACAAGCGCGGCCATCGAGCGCATGGCGTTCAATCGAGGAGTGTCTGAATGCGGGTCAAAGCTTCGCTGGGTTCACTCTCGCGCCCAAGTAGCAGACGGCTTTGCCAAGATTAAGCGCGAGGCACAGAAGTGATTCGACGTTTTCACGGCCAAGAGCTACTGGGCGTTAGCGCACGACCCAGGGTTCGAGTCGGCGCGCAAGCGAGGCCCCCGCGGTCTCGTCACTTTGGAGGAGAAGCCTCCTGATGAGCCAGCTCAAGACGACATCGTAGATTTCTGCCATGGCTCATCTGTTTCATAGTAACGGCTCGCTTACGCGACGCTTCTGATCAATGCAGCGCGGTCGGAGATCTTGGCCGATTGAATATTCCTTTGTGCTCCTATGCGCAGTCTGGCCCTCTCCGACCCCCGCCCTCTTCCGAGACCCTCGCTCTTCCGCTGGCGCGCGGGCTCGAAGGGCGCCCTTGAGTCTGGCAAGTGCTACCGGACCTGCTGTTCTGGCATCCGCGTGCCTGAGCGCGCTCGCAGTGCGCGATAGCCCAGCAGGGGCTCTGTGGCGGATGTGGATGTCTAGATGTCAAGAGGATCGGCGAGGCTCAGGTCCCCGAAGGAGTTTATCACGAGAAACGTCCACGACGTCTACTACCTCGAGGCCGGCGCCTGCGCTGGCAATCTAGACAGCAGGAGCAGCAGCAGAAGTGGGAGATGGAGGAACAGGAGCAGGAACGGGAACAGCAACCAGCGCTCGACTGAATGGGGTGGATCACCGAAAATCTGCAGCGGGTGACAGCGGGAGGCTCAACTCGAGCAACTCCCCTTCAGCTCGGGCAGCACGTAGATCATCCTGGCAGGGCCAGGGAAGTGTCACCTCAATCCGCGCGGGAGTATGCAGGACGGGCTCTCGACAACCCCAGACTTCCAGTCATGCTTTCAAGGGCCTAGATGGGCAGACCAAAGCGTTGATGCATCATCGCAGTCGAGCGTATGCCAGGGGCAATCGGACAGAAATGTGGCGTGCTACAGACGTCGCAGACTACTGCGCACGCGAGTGCCACCAGCGGATAACATTATACTCAGTGTTATAGACTCTGTCTAAGAAGTACGCTTTTTTATCCAGCGGCCGAGTGAAGTCGCAGAATCGAGGGGCTAAGGCGGGCCACGCTTAGCGTCAAGTCTAAACGCTTCGCGCAACCCCTCCATCCTGAAACGATTCCCAGACGAGTTGCCCTGATCAGGAACCTCGGGGGGCCACTTGGGGCCTCTTGGGGTTCTCTCGGGGGCCTCTTGGAGGCTTTTTGGGCGCCTCTTGGGGCCTGCTTGGCGCCTCTCGGGGCCCTCTTGGGGCGCTGTTGGGAGCCGCGGGGACGCTCTTGGGGCCGGTTTGGACGACATCGATCAAAGAAGGGGAGGGTCGCAATTAGCATTGCCCCTCGAGAGTGCCGACAATCGCCTCTTGGACCCCTCTTGTTGCGTTCTTGCGGCGCTTTGGGGGCCGTCTTTGGTTTTTTGGTGCCTCTTTTGGGGCTCTTTGGGGCCCTCTTGGAGTTTTCTTGAGGCCTCGGAAGGCAATCGAAAACAAAATGAGGAGACTGCAAGCTTCATTGGCTTTCATTCGGTTTTGGACGGATTTTGGCCTTTTGGCGGCCTCCTAGGGAAGGCTCCGTGGCCTCCTGGAGCCACCTTGGAGCGTTCTTTGGGGTTTCTTCGAGCATATTGGGAGCCATCTTGAAGCATCTTGCGCTATCATGAGCCTTCTTGAAGGTCATCTTGGGTTCATTGGGGCGCTCTTGAAACCGTCTTCGGCCATCTGGGACGTTCCAAGCCCTCGCGGGACCCCTTGTCCAAGTCCAGGGGAGGGGGCAAGGGGGAAGAAAGGGGTTGGAAGAGGAAACGCCCTAGACCACCTACGCCCACAGGGCTGGTGGAATCCACGTTGCGGTGCAGGTGGGTGGGCAATGCAGGGCGCAGAGCCGCAGCGCCAGGCGAGCACAATTGAGAAAGAAAACATGCACAATGCAAGGACAAAATCAGGCAAACTGGGGAAGGGGCCTGCCAAACACCCAGGCCTGCACTGTAGCAGGCGGATGCAAGGGCAGAGAAGCGCCCAGGCGGGTGGCGGGGCGCTGGAGCGCTGGGGAGACCTGAGCCCAGAGACCCCAGCCCGGTGGCCGTAGCCCGGCGCGTGAGAAGCACACGGGCGCACACGTTTCGGTTATTGTTCGCCTCAGTGCATGATTGTGTTCGTCTGCGCTGGCGGTAGATCAAGTCTTAGTATAAATTGCTTGCGGTGTGCCTTACCAGCGGCTGCATGGCACTGAGGTGCGGCACTATATTGCTGGTACTGTAGCTCAGCGGCCCCAGTGTCTTCGTCGCTGAGGGAGCCCAGTTTCCATCAGCACCTTCAGACTCCCAGTACAGTGGGCGCTAGTTAATATCTCCATTATACCAGCTGCAGCTTCTGGTGGCTTTCTTGACCTTGTGATTTTACGAGCGGGGGCATGCAGTCGGATCCGCAGGCCCGTGGAACGCCGACACATTGTGGACGGTCCTCGATAGGCCTTTGAGCCAGCAAGCTGCGGGACATAGGTTGGCTGCGGATCCGCAGCAGTAGGCAATGTACCCACAGGTAGCTTATCCTCTTCACTAGGCTTTTCATCGGCATAGAGGAGGGTGGGCCACTTTTGTCAGCTTCGGTAGGATGCGGATTACCAGTCTAAGGATCAGCATGCTATGGAACAGCAGGCTGCGGCGCAGCAGGAACTTCATCTGGCTGCTGATTAGCTGGCCCAAGAACAGCATCGGCAGGCGATGAACCAGCAGGGTGTGGTACCTCGCCACGTTGGATTTGGTTTGTATTATGCATGAATCTGTGGGTCCTCAGAGGGAACGAAAGCAGTGAGAGTGAGGAAGGAAGGAAATAAGAGAGAGGGGGGAGGAGGGAGGGGAGTGAGATGAGGGAGGACGGTGGAGGGAGGAGTTCGGAGTGAGAAGCGAGGAGGAGGGAGGAAGGAAGAGCTGGGAGGGTGGAGGGAAGAGGGACGGGGGCAATAATTTATGAGAGGAGGAGGAGGAGGAGGAGGAGGAGGAGGAGGATGGAAGAGGGACGGTCAAAGAGATGGAGAGGAGGAGGGAGGGTGGGAGGGTGAAAGAAGGAGGACGCGGGGGGGAGCATGGGGAACAGGAGGATCAGAAACACTATGATGAAGAGGGGCGAGATGGATGGGAAATGAAAAGAGGAGCAGTAGGAAAAATAACAAGCGAAAAATGAGGAGTAAGAGAAGGAGGAGGAGGAGGAGGAGGAGTAGGAGGAGAAGGAAAAATACGAGGAGGAGGAACAACAAGAGGATGATGCTGCTGTTGCTGCTGCTGCTGATGATGCTGATGCTGATGCTGAGGATGATGAGGAGGAGGAGGAGGAAGAGGAGGAGAAACAGGATGAGGAGGAGGAGGAGAAACAAGAGGATAAGGAGGAGGAGGAGGAGGAGGAGGAGGAGGTGAAGGAGGACGAGCAGAAGGAGGAGAAGGAGGAGAGGGAGGAGGTCGGGCCGAGCTGCAATGAACGGTCCTCTGACCACTCGTGGTCCTTTTGGACCGCTTTGTTTCATGATCTTGCATGCCGCTGTGGCGCGTGGGGGCGTCCCGCCTGCCTCTCAGTGAGGGCACGCCTTGCTTGCGAATGCGATGCCCCAAAACGGAGTCCGCCCCCGCTGTCCTCCTCTTTGCATTCCTCCCTCCCTCGCCCCAGCTTGCTTCCTTTCTCGTCTTCGTCGCCCCCGCCCCTCCCGCTCTGTCGTCCTGCGGGCGTCCTCTGCTGATCCCCGGCGGCGGCCAGAGCCTCCTCCTCCCCTCCCAATCCCGCCCCCTCCCCTCTTTTCGAAACCATTTGGCCCGGCCTGCTGCGATTACGCGCTCCCCCCCCGCCCGTCCGCCCCCACCTTTTTTCCGTACCACATGCCCTGCCTGGTGGCGCAGGTGGCACAATTGCGCCACCCAGGCCACGGCACCTGTCTTGATACATGTCACTGAGACTGCGCCCTTGTCCTCCGTCCCTCTCCTCCTCCTTCGAATCGGGTATCGACTACAGAAGTGATGTACCCCAGAATTCAATTTCTCGTCGAATCTGCAACAAAATGAATATGTTCGTAGGTCCACGAACATTCTACGTTTTCTCGTCGATTCGACGAACAAACAGGTTTGGGGTAAATCAAATCGGTAGTCGATTCTCTCTTCGAAGCGGGGAGGCGATGCGGCTGCGGTTGGCGAGGTGGCGTGCGAGGTGTGGCGCCGCTGGCCCGCTCATTACACACTCTCCCCTGCCCTCGCCGAGGTGGCCTGCGCCGAGGAAGCCCTGGCACGGGGAGATGGCTTGCAAAGGAGGGGCCCTCGCGGGGGGATCGCGGGCCCCCCTGAGGCCCCGCTTCACAGGGATGGCGTGCTTCTCGGAGGTCGATCGCCAGTTGCAAAGGGGGGGCACCGAAGGCTGCAGGCGAGGGGGCCTGCAGAGACCCCTCTTGGGGCCACCCTGATGCCCAGAAGGTGCCCCAAATGTCCACCTTTCTCCCAACCCTTCCTCCCCACCCCTCCTCCTGCTCCTCCTCCTCCTCCTCCTCCTCCTCCTCCTCCTCTTGTTTCTCCTCCTCCTCCTCCTCCTTTTCCTCCTCCTCATCCTCCTTTTCCTCCTCCTCCTCCTCCTCCTCCTCCTCCTTCTCCTCCTCCTCCTCCTCCTCAAGTGAAAGGAGCTGGGAACCACGAAGGAATTGGGAACCAGGAGCCCGGAACCAGGAGCCGGGAACCGGGAATTGGGAGCCGGGAGCCAGGAGCTGGGAACCGGGGATTGGGAACCGGGAGCCAGGGGCTTGGAACCAGGAGCCGGGAGCCGGGAACCTGGAGCTGGGAGCCAGGAGCCTGGACCCGGGACCTGGTAACCAGGAATCAGGAACCAGGAATTGGGAGCTGGGAGCAGGGAGCCGGGAACCAGGAATTGGGAACCGGGAGTAACCGGGAACCGGTAGCCGCGACGTTGACCAAAAGACCTTGTTTCCTCCTCCTCGTCGTCGTCGTCGTCCTCCTCCTCCTTCTCCTCCTCCTCCTCCCCTCCTCCTCCTCCTCCTCCGCCTTCTCCTCCTCCTTCTCCTCCTCCTTCTCCTCCTCCTCCTCCTGGCCAGCTCTTTGAACCGCCCGAGGGCATCCTACAGAAGGAGCTGCAGGCCATCAACAAGCTGCTGCGCGTCGCCCCCTCCAGCTTCGCCAAGTCCGACGTCCTCACGATGTCGCTCTGGACGAATGCGGAGGTCCCCGTCGGCATCGAGAATTACCTTGCCGCCGCTCTCTTGAGAGCAGCGTCTACCACTGTGACAGAGTGGAGACGCGCACACAGCGAACTTTGCGACACCGCTTACGACCAGCTTCCCATCACCACGGTACTGCAAGGCGTGTGGTGCAACGACTGCTGGGAGATCAAGACCGCCATCGTCCAGCGCTTCGAAGGTGTCATCAACTCCACCTTCTTCGTTGACTGTAAAGGGTCACGTCTCAAGCGCCTGACCCGCACTGCTGGGCCCAGACCCCGTGCAGGAGCCGCCATGATCGCCAGCCACAAGCGCGCCGCTAAAGCAGGACAGCAAACCATCCTTCATCGCCATGCCCCTCACCTATCTCAACAACCTGACCGTCTTCAATATCGCAACAATGCCAAGATCACGCCGCAGAAAGCCTACATGAAGTCGTTGAACGAGCAGCTCTACATTGACACCATGCGTGACACCATCAAACGCCGCTTGATCGCATGGTACCATACGCTAGACCCTGCCCGCCAAACTACACGAGGACCGCCATCTGGACCGCGACGTGAAGCCGAGCGAGCCCAAGAGCGCCTTCTCAACAGGGCGCGCTCATGGGCTGCGCACTGGCTGCCTGACCGCCTGTTGAACGACTGACTCATCAACAACCAAGACGACTGGACGCATTGGTGCGTCACCTTCTTGTATGAGTTACTCGGCAACGACCTGTTCCAGCCGCTATACACTACCGACACAACGACGCCGCATCGCCATCGACATGTGCAATCAAGCGTGGGCCACCAGCGGCCTTGGACGTATCCTCCTGGAGTACCGCTTGTCCCGCACTGTGACCCAGGGCGAGTCGCCACGCAGCCGTTCGCCCCGCAGCCGAACATCGTTGCTCAGCCACGAGGCTGCCCAACACCGTGCCCGACGCCGCTGGATATCCCACATCCTCCCGTTGCTGGAGCCCGACGCCGACCCAGACGACATTCACCGCGACGACGCCGACATGGGCGCTGAAGACCCACCTGCCGACGCCGACGCACAGCGTGACCTCATTCAAGTCCAACAAGTTCCTGATGATCTTCCCGCTCGGTGGATGCGCCTCCGCACCCACCTCGCGACGCTGCCGCCCTCCTGGCTGTGGAGCGCCCTGAAGGTCCTCACGGGCGCGTGGACGACCTCACACAGGATGCACGCGATCCCGATCAAGCGCCCATGCCATTTCGGGTGCCCGCGCGCCGACGACAACATCCAGCACCATTTAGTCGGTGAAAGGATGTGGCACCTGTTGAGCTTACCGCGCGGCCAGCTGAGCTCCAACATCTTGACGAGGCTCGGCCCCCCCGAGCTGACCGAGCCGTTCCATGGCGAGAACGGCATCCCGAACAGCATCGCCAGGCTCCCCGTGGCCAACAGGGCGTACCACCTCACGAAGGACCAGGACATCCCGATGACCTACAGCAAGCAGACGACTGCCGTTGCTGCCGCTCGCCGAGCCCTGAAGCTGCCCGCAGATCTGTCGGGCGGGGCTGGCGCGCCGTAGTGCGGCCTTCAGACAGACGCGCCCTCTCAGGCGACGTTCGCTCCTCCTTCTCCTCCTCCTCCTCCTCCTCCTCCTCCCCCTCCTCCTCTTCCTCCTCCGCCTACGACCCCGGCACAGAACAGGGAGGCACACCTGATAACGCAGTTTTTTTTTTCAATTCCCCTTGCACCTTCTTCGTGCTGCACACGCAGCGAACCAGACACCATGCACCCCTCATGATTAATTTCTCTCTTGGAAGCAGGTGTATACGACGACTACTGCTGGCCATCAACAGTCTGCAGTTCATGAATGGTGTGTCCGTTCTGCATTGCAATCCGCTGTCAGCAAATTCGCACGATTGATTGCAGGATATCGAACAAGTTTCGTATGGATTTGATGTGGTGTGCCTCGCTGGAACGGGAGCCAGGAAGCACGGGAAGGAAGATATTGTACGGAGGAAGGCAAGGCGAATATGGGCAGTTGAGGCAGGGTGGGAACGCGCACCTAGCAGCAACAAGAGTTCGGGATGCACGACCAGTCTGGGAAAGAGGATACGCCATAGTGCCGTCACACCCACGCACGCGCACGTGGGCTGCTCCCCGTTCATTGCGGAGCGGGGGGTAGCATTACGAGCGAGATGTAGCCAGTATGATATTGGAGTTGCCAGCGTGTACTTCCCACCCCTCCCTCCATAACGACAGACTACCCAGGACCAAAAAACTGTGATCATATAGGCAATTTGATTCGAGGACTCCCAGTGCTCGCAGTATATGAATGCTTCCCGACGTGTGCCATTGATGTTGACTCTGGTTTTGGATTGCAGCGCCTCTCGGGAACTGAATATTGAACGAAAGTTCATGCCGACCGACTAGGCACTGCAGCTGTGCCCACGAAGCAAAGGTATTCTGCACATGTGATGTTTCAAGTGATTCAAGAATTGTACCTCGTTTCAGTGGGCGCGCACATCGGAGCTGGCCCAACGTACTACAACAGCACGGGCACCACTTCAACGCGTGATTACGTAGTCATCCCCATGTGTGTGTGCGCCGATGCAAGTCACAGCGACAGGACCTCTACGTACGCTGGCGCGCAAGCTGCAACTCATCCGGCATCGTGAGCATCGCGACCATCTACCTGTCCATGTACGCTTCTCATACGGCATTGCAACAACTACGGGTGTTGAAACCACTGAACTACCAGCTGACCCTCGAGTAGGCTTTGTTCCACGACGTGCTAGACGGAATCAGGGGGCATTGATGGACAGTCTTACATATGGCAACCAACAGGGCAGCATTGTTCAACGACCTGGATACTAATGAGCCAAGAAAGTGGAGTGTGGGAGCGGCACCGTCGAGAAGAACTGGCCCCAAATGCTGAATGGGGACACTTCGTCGGCACGATGCGAACAGTAGCAGAAACATGTTTTGCAGCAGGGGTTCCGCGCAGCCATGATTACCCGCAGTACGCCAAAGCAGTGCTGGAACTACTTCCTCAACGACGTGCACTTCGACAGGCTCTTCCATTGCTTCGCAGCTATCAGGCAGTTGAAGACATATCATGTAACAAACGAGCCCTCTCCAAGCAGTTGAGATCACGGCGACGTCAATACCTCATGCAGTGGCGCTCAGATTTAACTGATGAGCTGAACAACAATATTCGGCTTGGACGTCCGGCCGAGGGGGCAGTCTATCTAGGTTGCTCTCTGCCAGGGAGACAGGGCACCCGGAGAAGAACTACAGGAGGCCGCCGTCTGCGCTCCCCACAAGCAAAGAGCTCCAGGATAGGCGGCTTCATCCAGCACCCCAGGGAGGTATGGAGGCGGAATTGGTGGATTGGTATAGCAATGCTAACGATCACCTGTACCATCCTGAACACGGCTTGGAGGCAAACTATTTCTTGGGAGATTACATCGAGGAGGGTCTACAGTGGGCCAAGGACAAGCTGAGGCAAATTCGCCAGTATCGTCGAAAGGCTGGGAGGAGGAGTGCTGTCCCCGAATGGCCGGGTTCAGTAGAGTTCTTCTGGGTGATTTTCCCTCCGTTCAAGCGCACCTCGAAACGATGTCACGGAGCGGGCTTCGAGCATCCCGACATCGAACCCAAAACGGTCCGCGCATTTTTGGTTTCGTTTATGCACGAAGCAGGACGTTTTAGGCAGATCCCATTCGTCCGGCACTTGCCCCGACCTCTTTCTCCGCCAGGGACGAAGCGCATTACAGTGGAAACCCATGCCAAGAAGCACCCTGCTTGCCTCCAGGGTGCCCTGGGTTTCTTGGGTTTCGATGGTTTTGTGATGGGACGCGTGACGTTCCCACACCAAACGTCAATGGACGTCCTGGGGGCGCAGGGTGGGGTCTCTTGTGGAAGGCTTCTTGTGGTCGAGCTCCTATCGCACCACCTTGTCTGAAGCCGAGGTGCAGAAGTGCGGTGACAGCTGCAACCAACCGAGGTCTTGGAATCCCAGGCGAGGGGCGGACCACCGCGAGGGCCGAGGCGTGCAGGAGGGCCGAGGGGACCGGCCTGCACTCCCACGCACCAGAGCCCATGGACACCACCGGGAAGGAGGGGGGGGGTCAGGCAGGCCCAGGAAACATGCAGCGGGGGCGCGCATCAAGAATCCATATGCTTTGCGTCAGAGCACCCTGGGCTTCTTCGCTCCGCACGCTGCGCGGTGACTTCCCACGGCCGTTGAAGAAGCTGCTGCGTCCAGGGTGCTCTGGGTTTCCCCTCAGGTGCACCTCGCGCGCGGGTTTTCAGGGCTGGGTTTCTTGCGAGGGTTTCTTATGGCCGCGCCCGCAGTGCATCTAAATCCACAGCCTCGCGGGCGAAGCCCCTGGGGTGCTACCCCATGAATATGGGGATTGTTTTCGCGGATTCCCCGCGCAGAGCGCATCCAGTCGACCGCGTGTCCTCGGGATCACACCCCTGAATGCAGACAGCGAGTGCGTGGATATGGATATGCTCGCTGCTCGTGAATTAGGATGAGTCGCTCGAGAGCGTCCCGGAACGTTCTCAGAGCGTTCTGGAAAGCTCCGGAACTGGCCGCGGCATCCGATAACGTCCTCCAGCCCTTCTGGCTCCCAGAGATTCTCGATTTGTCTTCGGTGGGATTTGTTCTCATCTTGCATTCGTTTCAGATTGGGGGGAGGGCCCAAAGGCTGGAGAGGAGACGAGCAGAAGGTTGCAGGAGGGCGAGCCGTGCACGTGCACGAGGTGGCGTGCTGATCGAGAGGGAGAGAGTGAGAGAGAGAGAGAGACGGCTAAGTCAGCGGAATGAACGCAGAAATCGATGAGTCGATGAGCACGTTTGGCCACTCAGTCGGATCTCACTGCAAATGACAGCTTCACGCCCACATCCGCAAGTCATGTTGAATCAAGCTGTGTTGGCTCCGGCGCGTCGGCCATTCGAGGCAGGCATGGCAGCATTGCCAGAAAGCACCTCACCCAAACCCATCAGTCACCACCGAGCAGAAGATGCCATGGCAAGGAGCGATGATACCAGCAGGCTACCTATTGAGATGTCTTCGTCACGCGGAATATCAGACTTCACAAGTCCGTCACACGATTTGGGCAACAGCGTACTTTCGATACCACAACCGGCAATCCGAAGTACACATTTGGCGCCACGCGACGCGTCGAAGTTCCTCTCTGGGATGTCCAACGCCTCGCGCAGGTCCGACGTATCGTACATGACATGCGACAGCAGCACGGGCCTGGACGATTTTACGAGGCGGCCCTCCGAGTTCTCCGAGAGGTGGCCCCCCGAGAAATCGCTCAGGACCATCCTGTCCAACGGCAGCCATCTGAGCATGAGCGAGAGCCACTTGCCGGGGCCCTGGTCGCCCAGCGACGCGAGGTCGTCTGCCCAGAAAGCCCTCGTCTCCGTGCTGCGCTGGGGCCGCGTGGTCAGCCACGAGTCCGTCATGGCCAGGGCCGCGGAGCAGACCGAGGAGCAGGTGCGCCGGCGGGCCTCGAGGGAGGCCCAGAGGACGGTCCGGGAGGGCTCCAGGCTCCTGCTCGCGTCGACGGCGCTCTACGGGGTCGGGAGGCTGAGCTCGAGGAGCAAAAGGTTGGCAGAGGCGCAGTTTCTCGGAGGTCCGCGCGGGTTTCTTCGGTCGGCGCTGGGCCCTCCTCGCTGGCCCGCGGAGCGCGCCAGGGGCGGCGCCGGAGGCGCCGCCAGGGGTCCCCGGCGCCGATCGAGGAAGCCCGCGCGGACCGTCGAAAGTTTTGTTGGTGCCATCATCTCTCTGTTCCTCGATGGTCGAGCTCCTCCTCCGCGGCTTCAACGGGGGCCAGGAGTGCCCGTGGCTCTGGCGCGGGGGCGAGGCAGGCCAGCCACAGTGGGGGGGAGCTGTGGTCTTGAACCCCCCGAGGGGCCCAGCGGTTTCGACCCTCACGAGCGGCAAACGTATCCATACCACACAGCAGATATCTAAAGAAAAGACATCAACTGTCGTGGGCTCCAGACTTCGCTTAAGAAAATCAAGAATGTGGGCTGGACCCTGGACGTTTTCCTGGAGCTGCTTTTTTGAACCTGCGTCTATCTGGACTGGGGCTACTGTGTGAGAAAACGCTTCGATTGAAGTTCACTTTCTTAGCTTAAGATGCTCTTCGTTATAAGGACCGGTGTGTCTGCGCCCTCGCGGTTTGGATTCCGGGGCGTGATCCCGCGGATATGCGGTCGCACGGACACGTTCCGCGCGGGACGTCCGCGAACAAAAACGCTCCGTGCCCGCAGGGTCGCGGCAGAAGGGCCGGGCCTACAAGGCCGTGGAGGAAGAGGAGGAGGAGGAGGAGGGGGAGGAGGTGTTAGAATACGAGTAACACTGTCGTCCTCCCAGCGTAGTGCAGTTAGAAACAGATAGAGAGTGATAGTGCATAGAGCAGGGACGGTTGCATGACCATCGACATTCGGGCTCAAGCTTGAAAAATCGAGTTTGGTAGCGGAGCTGGTTGATCCAGCTCCACCCACCATCGCCTCCTCAGCAGGAGGCAGCGCGCGCTGATAGCGGCAAGGACGTGCTCGCCGATTCGGCGGCATCTCTTCTCACTCATAGACAGCATCTACAGCTTCAGAAAACAGCAAGGCAGGCGACGAGCTCGCGTAGGACACGAACTTCCACTCGCAGATCGAGACCTACCATTTCATGTCCGAGCACACTGGTCTCCCATTAGACGCGTAAACGCAAGGCACACCGCCAAAATGGAGATCGGCTGTCATGCATTATCCCTTGTGGCGATACTTGGAGCGTCTCAGGTTGTGGTGTCGCATAACCGACCTGAATGCAGATCAAGTTGGACCAGCAGTAGCGGGCAGACTCCAGGGCTGGCCCTACAACATGGCGCTTGGTCTACAACTTACGACCCAGGCAGGAGCCAACCTCCAAGGCGAGGCGGCTCTGGCCTACGCTGGAGAGCAGCAGCAGTTGGACGGCCATGGTACCTGTTTGATTCCAGCTGCTGAGAGCGGCATTCAGGTCTTGATACGGTGCTGACAGCCGACACACGGCGACGGGCACCATCGATCAGTTCTACGATCTCAGGCGCGGCAGGCTCCCCCTCGTCGAGTACATGTCGGAGTTCGAGCACACGTACGAGGAGGCGAACCGCTTCGGCAATCTCAATATCAACAATGTCGCCCTCAGCCATCAGCTTCTCAAGCACTCTGGTCTCGAGAGGTCCAATCTAGACCACGCTCTCTTGCTGGTCAACGGAGACCTCGACCGCTACGATGACATCAACGAACCTCCTCATGCGCCTGACCAAGAACCAGACCCCTGCACATATTCCCACCGTCGACGGCTACCTAGCAGATGGAACCTACCTCTGGGATGACGGCAGCTGGCACGGCGACGGCTGGTACGGTGACGGCTGGTATGACGGCTCTTGATATGACAATTCTTGGGACAACAGTATTTGGTTTGGGAATAACTGGCATGATGACGGCTGGCACGATGACTCTTGGCATGACGAGAGCTGGACAGGAGATGATCAACGAAGTACTGACAAGAAAGCAGCGCTCCAGCATCACGGCCAGCAGCATCATCCTCCGCAGCAGCCACCGTTGATCTCGAGACCTTCCCATCCGATTTCAACTTCGGCGACAGAGGCCGCGGGAAGGGCAAGTCTCGTGACCGAAGTAAAGGCAGATCAGCCAGCTTGGGCAAGAAAGGCACGAGCAGTGGCGGCGGTCGTTCCAGCAGGACAGGCTGCGGTCGCTGTGGCAGCCCCAACCACAACGCTGAGGACTGCGCTTGGAGCCGCGGCCAGAGCAAAGGCAAGGCAGGCAGCAAAGGCAAGAATGGCCGCTCAGGTTCTCGCGGTTGAAAGAAAGGAAACAATAATGGCAAGGGCAACTATGCGGATGAAGATCCCTGAAGCCACGGCTCCGATCCATTGACTACTGGCCCTGTTGGTGGATTGATTCACTCCGGTGCACTTGTCTCAGGAGCAGTTGGTGAGCCGCCCAAGGCTCTTGGGCGCAACGACGTCGGTCCACATATCACTTCCTCTGAGACCCGCGCCGACGCTCAGCATGTCTTCGCCGCTGAGGTGATCGATCTCCTGAAAGGCCTGACTCCGATCGCCATCGAGACGGGCGGCGTTGCCTTGTCTTCCTCGGCGTCAGGGCAACCGACACCATCGCCAGCAGTAGAAGCTCCATCGCCATCGTCTCCGACACCTCAGCTGCTGGACGTCGGTCTCATTGTGCGCGACCTGGGTCCTGAGGCAGACGCCCCATCATCTGGGGCCATCGGATCCGGCAGGCCCCCCCCCCTCCAAAAAAAAACGATCGGGACCGAGACAGCGGGCGCAGACCTGCGGGTCACGATCGATGCGCTCAGCTTTCCTCCGAGGACTTCGGCTCTCAGTGCGTCGTCGAGTCAGGCAGCCCAAAGATCCCCGCTGCCACCTCTGAGCACTACCGAGTCTGGTTATTCTCCCTGGGCCTCGGCGCGGCCTGAGAGACAGCAGCAGTTCTCGCGACCTGGGCCCCCTCGGCCCACTCGTCAGCGCCTTGGCCTCGCCGATCTCAGGGAGCTGGAAAGGAACCTTCGGATCAGCGACGAGAGCGGCGCCGAGCTCTCAGATCCTGCGGCCGACGACCCCCGCGGGAAGCGAGTTCCCGACGACGAGGCAGAACTGATCGAGGACAGGGAATATTCTCGGCTAGAGCAGATGCTATTTTCCTCGGCGTTCCCACGCGTAGCTTACGGCTCCTTCAATCAAGGAACTAGCTTCAGTTCCCATGCCGTCGAGGGCCGGGGGGCCCGGGGCATGATCTTCGACCCCGGTGCAGCTGGGGAGCTTGCCAGCGCGCAGACGCTCTTGAAATGCGCGCGAGAAGTGCGCCGGCCGAATAGGCGCGGCTACGCGGCGCGCCGCCGCCGACAGGGGGCACTTCATTATCAGGTATAGGCGGGGATTCCATGAGGAGTCGGCTGCCCGCGCGGGCGCCCGTCGGCCTCGGCCCCGTCATCGCCAATATTGAGACAGCGATGATCGGCGGCAGCGGCGACAGCTGTTCATTCCCCTTCTCGAGCGAGACCGCAGTCAGGCGAAAGATCACTGCTATGTTCGTCTACTTCGACAACTTCGACGAGCCCCTCATCATTCCAGACCTGGATGGAAGGACCTATGGCCTACGCATGCTGCTGACGGACTCGGGGCAGCGCCGCGCCCCCATCGATCGCGGTTTCAAGAGTTAGGATCGCGCCCGCGAAACCTTCAGCGGGCGCGTCTCCGTCGGTCTCGCGGCGCCCCGAGCAGCGCTGGCAGCAGTTGGCCGCCCGCAGCCGAACGCCGCAGGAACGTCGCCCACAGCACATATGTCAAGCCATCGCGGAGACGTTGCGGTACCTGTATTAATTTCGGATAAGACAGCAGACGCTGAACCGCCGCCATGACTCTCACTTGGCGACGGCCACCCCCGGGCACAGATCCAGCAAGACACTGAACTTCGCGAGTTCACTGACGACGAGGAAGACTTCCTACCTGACGAACGCCCCAACGACGTCAAGCAGTGCGAGGTATGCGGACGCACCGAGAACAATCTCACCATCGTGCCATGCGTCCGCTGTCGTGTTCCAGTCTGCGCCCGCTGTCGCAGCGACCTCGGCCGTCGCAGCTGCGCGGCTCGTCGGGCCCCATTGTCGACGCAACACGAGCTCCGGGACCTGGCCGACGACAACGACATCTTCCACGGCTCTTCTTGGACTCTGATTTCAGAGGCCGTGTGCTGGACATCTAGGGCCTTTGGGACGAAAAGCCATCGCTTTCGGACAGGTGGCCGGCCCACTGTGATAGCGTTCACTGGGAAGCCCGAGTCTTCTGACCTCCGACCCCTGGCATTGATCACGCCCTCGGGAAGAACTTGGGGTCGGCCTAGACAAGGCCTTGCTCGTTCTTGGGAACGACAGCATCAGATCTCGGCGTTTTGGGGCTGATCGATTAAAATGCGTGACACCGCAGGCTGGGAACACAACATTATGACCGTTATGCGAAGACTATCGGCTTCGATGCTGGGATCCTGTCCACCGACCTCCATAAATTCGATTCGCGTATTTCGCATTTCAGGTTGTTCGAAGAAGTTATCGCTGCCGAGTTGTATTCCAAACTTTTTTAGATACATATATGTAGGTATGTATGTATGTATGTATGTATGTATATATATATATATATATATATATATATAGTATAGCGTGCTCCTTGTACTCGGGGCCTCGATGCCTTACCTTCCAGGAAGCCATCTCGGATGTATTCCGGACTAATGGAACTATTTCGGCAGGATGTGCAGTCGCCACAAGTCTAGTTCGAGTGTTTTATACCGACTATTGGTTTCGATCGCAGATAAGCTCCCAGCGGTTCTAGTGAGGATCGTTGCCGACGATATACACGCACATTGCCTGGGATCATGCCGTGTCGTTGCTGAACAAGTGGGCGGTGCTGGGCGTGTACTGGCGGCAGGCTATCGTCGCCTGGAGTTGGTCTTTGCCACCCACAAAACCACTTCATTGCCTCCAGCACCGAGCTAGCGGACCGTGTGAATGCTGAGTGGACGGGCTACAGCTTCGAGAGGAAAAAAACACGCGCGATCCCTCGGCACGGACTCCCACCCTCCCAAGAGGCGAGTGTTGCACGCTGCAGACACGAGATGCAGGAAACGCCTTCGACGATCGATCGAGCTCTTGAACAGTTAAAGCAAGCCAGCTCGCAAATAGGCCAAAAACAGAGATCAGGTCCACAGGCGACAGCCCTTTGGGGCGCAAGTTTATCGGGACCCAGCGGGTGACAGGTCCATAATATGAGACGCGCTGCAGGGACCAGCCTTAACGTGGACAAAAAGGGAGCGTCGGCGGTTGGCTTCACGCTGGCCACTGCCAAGATCGGCCGCGTCGTGGGCCCCATTCTGCCTCTACCGTTCCCAGGTCATGTGTTTTTGGGCGCGCGCTGTTTGGATTGGTAAGCCCCCCCCCCCCTGGCATCCCCCCAGGCTGTTTTTGGTTTCGGCTGCCGATGACCTCGAGCGGGCCCATAACCTGTTGGCCTCGACGGCCACTCCCGCCCACGTTTTCCTGTTGTCTGTCCAACAGCTGGGCTGGGCGGCGCTTGTTGCCGATCGCATCCGTGTCGACCCTGGGGAAGAAACTTACGTCACCCAGTTTGACCCAAAACAGTGGGGGGGGAGGGAAGAGGAGGAAGAGGAGGAGGAGGAGGAGGAGGCAGGAGGAGG